TCTTACACTATAAACTTTAAAGGGCTGGGACAGCCTTTAAATTATCTTAATGACATGAGAGAGCAGTTCCTATATGGATAGATGCTTAATAAATGCACTTTCTTATCTTGAGGGAGAGAAAGCAAGCAAGAATTCCATCTTTATCTTTTTTTATGGCTGGCCTTCTCTCAGATGCAGCATTAGAGCCAGGAAATTGACCCTTGCCATTGTGCTTCTCTGCTGATGACAATTACCTGTGCAGCAGCGACAGTTTTATAGTTGGTGCCTTTAAAAGGGATGCTCATTACTGCTCAGAGGGAGGGGAAAGGCCTCAATATTACCCTTTTTCCCCCCAGAGAACAGAGGGGTGTGGAGCCAAGACCTTGAGGCTGTCCACTCTGGAAGTGGCACAAAAGGCAACAGGTACAAACATGCCTCTTTCTTGCCTCTTTTCTGTCTTTTTGGGCCTTAAAATGGCTCTTGAGTATCATTTTGTCCTTTTCTCCAAGGCTGTCCGTAACCAGCTGCAGGTTGGGGCTGATGAAGGACTGGATGCTGACCCCTCAGGGTCCAGGTAGGCTGGGCCATGTGCTTCTCCTTCCCTGACTGGGAAGATGTTTGAAACCTGCAGATGACTGGCAGCTAGGTTGTACCCAAAACAGGAGGCCTGCAGCGTGATGCTATCCTGGAAGGCTCCAGACTCAAGACTCTCATGAAACAAGACTCTGTTTGCCCTCAAGCTTTGGGTGTCACCATGACACCCAACAGCTCTTGTTAAGACACCAGTGACTCCACACTGCTAAAGCTGGTAATGAGTTCCCAGCACCCACTATCTATACTCGCCTCTCAGCAGCACTGCCCTGGCCTTTCCCACCTCCCCTCTGCCATGCCCCTCTAGTCTCTGCTGCTGGCTCTTTCTCACACCCCAACCTCCACACATTGATAGAGGTAAGAAAAGCCAGGGCAGTGCTGGCCTCTCCCATTTCTCTCCACACCACTCCCAAGTGATCTCATCCAGGCAAGTAGGTTTAAATACCTTCTATATGTTGTTGACTTCTCAAAATATAATTTGTTCCAGACCTCTCCCCCAACCTCGGATGAATTCCCAATTGCCTACTCACCATCTGTATTTGGATATCAAATAGACATTTCAAACATCTGGGTGTGAGACTTTTCCTAATATTCCTGCCCTGACACCTATTCCTCTAGCAGCCTCCCATGGACCAGTATATGAGGATTCCACACTTTTTGCTGTTTAGACAATCACCTGGAAAAGTTCTGCTTCTCTCTTTCTCTCATACACACATCTTATATCTGATATGTCAGCAAATGATGTCATTCTGGGGCCTTTCTGTATTACCTCATTGTTACCAGGACAACATGGAGCCTCACTGTGTCACCTCATTGATACCAGGACACCCCTGGCTCCCTGCTTCACCCTTGCCCACTTCCATTCCATTCTGCAGATTGTAGCCAGAGAGTTCCTGCTAAACATGGGTAAAGTCATATCACTTCTCAGCTAAAAACTCTCAGTGGCTTCTAGCTCACTCCTCAGAAAAGTCCAAGTTCTTACAGTGATTCTCATGGTTCACATCCTGGTTACCTTGGACCTCATCACCCACCTCTCTCCTCTCCTCCCGCCCCACTCCCTCCCCTCCAGTCACATTAGCCTCCTCTATGCTCCTCAAATACATCAGCCCTGCTCCTCCCTTGAGGCCTTTCCACCGGCTGCTCCCTCTGCCCAGAATGCTCTTTCCCTAAATATCTACATATTTCCTTACTGCCTTTAAGTCTTTATTCAAATGCCACCTTTTCAGTGAGGTACTTCTGGGCACCCTACCTAAATTACAGCCTATCAGCACTTCTGTTTCCCTCTTGTATTTCACCTTCTCCATGATACTTATCACTCTCTGACATACCATTTAATTGACTGGCTGTCTCCCCACTAGGAGGTAAGTTCCCTGAGGGCAGGGATTTTTTATTGCGTTGCTCATTGCTATACCCCCTGCACCTGAAACAGTGTCTGGCAGGGAGCAGATTTTAATGGGTGGATGGATGGGTGGAAGCATAAAAGGGAACATGTTTTTGGATGTAATTTACCAGCTACATCATTACTCTAATTACTCAGAGAAGTACCTCCTAACTGTGCCCTGGTTTTCTGTCTTCTCTACCACTGCTCTTTCTATTTTTTCTGCGAGGTTTGTAGGTTTTCCTAGGAAAAGTGCATAATTGGGCTCTTGCAGGTATGCTCACTGTCCTGCCCTGGTGCCACCTCTCTGTCACCGTGTCCTTCTCCAGCAGCATCTGGTTGTGCTGACCTGCCTGCGCCCAGGGGAGAACAGAAGTTGCCAGAGCCATTGATCAATAGTGATGATGCCTTTTTTTTTTTTTTTTCCCCCTTAAAAGACTACTTTGTTTTTGAGCTGAAAAGAACTGGCAGAGCTTACTATATTGTAAATTTTTAGCAATTTCAAAGGCTAAGATACTACTTTAATTGAAACATAAATATAAATTATAGCAGCATTTCTCCTTTTGTGTTTGTTTCAAAGGGCAAACTATAAAGTTTTGAAGACAAGAATATAGTTCCTGAGCCATAAGCTTGCCTTTTTTTTGCAAATTTATTAGGTTGCCAATTCCCTAATAATTTAATCACTGCTTTTATTGGACTTCCCCAATAGACACAGTTCTTTGGACTGGTTTCCTGGCTCCATTACTACATCTCTCACATCCATTTCATTGCATGGCTCTATTTTACTCTTCATTTTGCTTTTTTATAGACTCATTTCCTTGCCCACCCAGTAGGACTGTTCTAGCACCATTTCAACAATTGAAGGTGGTAGGCTCCCACTCTGTTCTCCTAGGACAAGGCTGGCTGAGGACCAGAAGCAGACAGCAAAGGCTCCTCCAGCCATCTGGAAGGAGCACACGGTGGGAGGAACAGCAGTCTCCAGAGTCTGATTTCATCCATATTCGGACTTTGGAAAACCTTGGCAGAGGTTCTGTCCAGTTCATCATGCTCATCCCAAAGCCTGGCCAGAGTTGTGATCACAGGCCTTGTCCATGTGATCTGGTCCAGCAGCAAAGAATTCTCCATGCCTTGGAATTTATTCATTTAATGTTTAGGACAGGAAAGCAGCACAATTCTAGGAAGCTCTTGCTTTAGGCAGAGAACAGAATAACTACGTGTGTCTGTGGACCACAACTGACTGCTAAGTAGTGGATGTTGCTCATTTTTAATAATATGTTAAGAAACTTGCTCATCAGCATTAACTATGACCCTGGGCCTCTGCCCTGACTAAGGATGGAGAGGGGCCAAGTTGCCAGTTTCTGTGTTTCAGAGGTAAGCTTCTCTGTGGTACTTACCTACCGTACAAGTCCATGCCACAAACTAACTACACCACAGTTCCATCAACAGTATAAATAGAATCTGCCAAGCATTGTCCCAGAAAGACCCCACTGGAACCATTGCTCACTGATATGATCCATTGAAGGCCTTGTCTTCCAACCTGCTTCCTTAGGTTGTTAAATTAAGTCATTACCAGTCCCTGTTGCTTGTGTGTTTTAATTTTGTGTTTGCCTCTTGAGCAGCGATCAGAAAGGGAGCATTGGTAGAGGATTCTATTGCTCTCTGCAGCTAAACCATTGCTGTATCCTACACCACTTCTTCCACCCAATCCTCCTCTGTGAGCAGAAACTCACAGAAACCAGTTGGGTGTTTGAACACATGGACATAACAAATGCCTACTATAAGGGCAATAAACTAGACTCACTATATTTACATATATGTGCTAAGAAACACACACACACACACGCCTGTGAACACAGGGATTTCACAGCTGATGGGAAGACCATGCTTTTCTCAGGGCAGTTGGCCTGGCAGCCCTGTGCCTTCCTGGCTCCTTAAGGAGAGAAGCATCTGATCCACAGCAGCGTCCTGCTTCCCTCCATCAGCCTCCCTGAGACTCGGTGGTTACTGTCACCTTCTGTCCACTCAGGGATTGTTTTTGGCTTCCCACCTTACTTGCCTGTCTCCATACAGCAACCATCTTGTTGGCTTTTTAATCTGTTTGGTTCCTGACTACTGTAGATGCTCAAGGTTCAGGAGCATGTTTTCAAGTTAAGCTGCTTGAAGAAGAAACGCTTAGCAATTAGACTATAGCTTGAGGAACACTGCTTCTTCAAACATGCAAAATGAATGGGAAAGAGTGCACACAGAGAGAAAAGGCAACTGTGTGGTCATCAGAGAGAGAGAGAGAGGTCCAATGAAACAGGGAGAATAGTCGGACCTAACCCAGGGTTCTCAAATGCACCCGGCAGCACCAGCATCTGCAGGCTGTTCAAACCAATTGCTGGGCCCCACCCCAGGATCTCTGAGCCAGCAGATCTGAAGTTCAGCCTGAGTTTCTAGCAACTTCCCAGGTGCTGCTGGTCCAGGGACCACACTTTGAGACCCACTGGGCTTATTTGGTGAAAGCCTGCCCTGTGCAAGCCCAGAGGAAGGAATTTAGCTCAGTTTCTATAACCCTGTCAAATGCCTCCTCTCTTCCTCAGTCTCCCCATTTGGTAATTTGGATCTAACCTCCTTTAGAGAAACCTTTGGCTGCTTTTCCTATGAGAAAGCACATGGTGCTTGGGAGTCTGCTTCAAAGGGGGCGAGGTTCCTGCTTTCCAGGGAGCTGCTTGGTGGAAAGTAATCTTTGTAACAAGCCTGGTGCAGGAGCCTGCCCTCTGCCCAAAGAGATGGAGCCCAGAGGGGGATGTCTGGTTTAAAAATAAAGAGTGCCCCTTAGCAAGGTCTAAACTGTCTTTAAGATCCAAGATTCTGAAAGAAAATGAGGCTTTACAGATCAATCATAATTATTTCACTAACTTCTATGAGTAGCAAATGATTGCAAGCAATGAGACCAATGTTGTTCCAGGAATACAACTGTAAAGAAAGGTTGGTGGTAAAAGGTTTCTGCTGTACTCCCACCATCTCTTTCCTCTCCGAGAACCCAGCCAAGACATAGGATGCTGCTCACTGTTTCGGGGTTTCTCCTCATCCATGCCTTCGTCCTCATTCTCAGGGTCAATGTCTTCCGCCTGTGTGATCCAGTCCAGGTAGCCTTTCAGGTCCTCTTCCAGTTGTTGCTTCTCTCGCAGTTTTTGGAAATCCCCCCGAGCCTTGGCCTTCTCCCTCTCTTTGGAGAACTCTCTGGAAAGAGAGTGGAGTGGGCAGGGCAGGGAGCACATGGAAGGAGGGTGTGGGTGGGGCATGAAGGAGAGATGGAGATAAAGGGAAACAAAAGTGAGGATGGCTTTGCACTAGGAAGCCCGCCCACATGCCCCAACTTCCACAGATAGCTTTCTCTAGCCATCCCAGGCTGTCTTGGCTCTCACATAAATAGAAGGAGTCACTGAATGGGAGGGATAAAACCAGTTTCCCTTTTTCCTGGATCATGATTGCAGGCTTTGCCTTCAGTAACAACTGTTCTCCAATGACCCGGAAACTCCTTCTGATTAGTAACCAAAAAGCCTCCACAACAGTTGGAACATGCATTCGCCTTTCCCCAGCATAGGATGGCAGAAGAAAAGTCTCAAGAGCCTCTGGGTGAGAAAAGATGTTAGGAGCCGGGTGTGCTGAAGCCTTTTCAGACACAGTGGCTCTCGAGAGCCACCTGCACATGGCTCTTCCCAACTCTGGCTTCAGTGAGGTCTCTGTGGTGGCTTGAAATTGGCCATGGTGGGAATATTTACACCATGGAAATTGGCAAATGTTATAAATCACGGATTTCTCCCCTAAAGATCTGATTGTTAAAAAGGTACCAGTCCGCCACTGATTTGAGACCCAGGGGAATGAGTCCCCTCCTTCTTTATTCTTATGAATAGGGCTCTTTCTGCCTCCCTTAGCTGCCTGGAAGGATTTTTAATCTAGAGAAAGTGCTTTCTCACATGGAGACAATGAGGGTTCCAAACACAAGAAAATGTCCTGGGGGCTGCCTTTAAGGTTAAAAAAAGATATCTAATCACAATGGAAAAATACATAAAATCAAGATATAAAAGCTAAATGATGCACTCAGTTTAAAGTAATAATGAGTAGAAATTGGAAATTGAGTTGCCAAAAGAAGGGCCTATTGGAAAATTTGACAGCATGGCTACTTATTTTCTATTTTCTATGGTTCTGTCCTTATTTCTCTCTGATTTCTAATTAACTTTCCTAGCAAGGCAGGGCTGGCAGCAGAAGGTGGTGATCAAGAAGGCTAGATCTTAACTTGCCAAACAAGTGTGTCTTTTCTTCCCAAATCATACACAGGAGCATTTCTCTGCTTGATAATCTATGGGGAATGAGGCCCTCAGTGATGTGTGTGTGTGTGTGTGTGTGTGTGTGTGTGTGTGTGTGTGTGTGATTCCTCCTTCTCTCACCAGTGAAGGTGTAGTTCGCTTGATAATCTATGGGGAATGAGGCCCTCAGTGATGTGTGTGTGTGTGTGTGTGTGTGTGTGTGTGTATGATTCCTCCTTCTCTCACCAGTGAAGGTGTAGTTCGCGGCAGGCGGCTGCAGAAACCACCTTGAAAGAAATCCTTGCACAAGCCAGACACTCTAGAGTAGGGGTGTCGAACTCAATCAGAGAAGGGGCCAAAATCTAAAATCCAGCCTAAATTGCGGGCCGAATGGTTTACTGAACAGTCATAAACTGTCATTGTGATGGAAACGCAGCGGAGTGCAGTGATGACAGCGCGGTGCGGGCCACATTGCAAGGCCTGGCGGGACGGATTTGGCCCGCGGGCCTTGTGTTTGACACATGTGCTCTAGAGAAGGAAGGACACACCAACAAACGTTAGTGGGCACAGGCTCAGCCCCTGAATTCACAGGGTGACATTAGCTGGCTCTCTCATCACACCCACTGGCTAGTATGTGCATTTTGCTAGTGCTGCTTTGGAGAGCAGGGGTTTTAGAACTCACCATTTCTTTGGTGAATGGGGTTGGGGCTGGAAGTGGTCTAGGGAACTTCTTAATTGGGAGATGTGGGAGCTCTCAAGCTAACGAATTCTCTTCAACTGCTGCCTTAATGATGGTCTGGTTTGGATGGAATTTTCTTCCCTAAATCTGATTGAATTCTAATTGGATTGAACTTGCTTTTCATTGGGCTTCCGGCCAACTGGTGGGCACCTTCATTTCCTTCCCAGGGAGTTTAATCCAGGGAAAATGGGCCAGATTAGCAGCTTGCAGTGACGATGGAAGCCTTGCTCTGCGCTGCCCCACCATCCTTTTGCTATTGAGGTGGACAAGGAAAGATGCCAGCCACCCACCCCAAACCTTGGTACCTAGTCACACTGCCCCAAGGCTGTAGGCTTGCTCTCTGGAGAGAGTAACTTCATATAGAAGTTCCCTCCCTGTGTAAATCAACTCCCATACTACACTTCAAAGCCCCTCTCTCAGCTCCCTTTCCGCCCACATGCGATTGCACCCCCGTCCCTCTCCCGTGGAGTGGGGGCTGGGTTGTAAGGTGACTAAATAGCTAAGGGTTCATTTAGGCTCTTTTGGAATATTTTGCAGAGAGTTCAAGTTCTAGTTACAAAACAACTACCCATCCTTCTTCTAGGGTTGGAAGGGTAGGACTGGGGCCCAACTGGAGTAGGGACAATTGACCCAGATCTGTAACAGATCTGCCCTGTGGAATAAAACTCACCATCGGTACCTTCTGGGGACTCAAAGTAAACATCAAACATCCCCTATGATGAAGGAAAACTGAGGTGTGTGGGGAGTATGAGGGAGATGGAAAAGTGGCAGGGTCAGACCCCTTTGGCTCCCAGGGGTCATGGGACACAATCACACTGCAGCCCAATGGAAGATGAGCCAGGTTTCCCTATCCAGACCCCACGCAGTAAGGGATTTTTCTGGGTGGCAGTGCCTGGCTCTCTTTTATCTCCTTGCCTGGATGCCAGCCAGGCACCTGCCCTGGGGACTGAGCTAATGAAGACATGAAGCTCCAGCCTGTCGGGCTGTGCTGGGCCCAGGGACCGAGTCGGCTAGACAATCAGTCACAGCTGTGGGATTTGTCATAGGCAGAAGCACTTCTCTGGCCAGCAGGGGCCAATATGAAAAATGAGGGTGCAGTGGAGAGCCAGAGGACCAGCACTCACTAATGTAATGCAACCATAGGGACGTGCAAGTGGAAAATCCTCAATTCCGATGGCTGGTGCTCTAGGTCCTCTATGATGCATACAGCCCATCCTCATGATTCATATATTCTGTATTTTCAAATTTGCCTACTTGCTAAAATTTATTTGTAACCCCAAGTCAATTACTCGTGTGCCTGTGAGGTCATCTGCAGACATCTGTACAATGGAAGAAAACTGGAGTCACATCCCCATCTGAGGTCAGACAAGATGACCCGTTGCTTTCTTGTTTCAGCTCTCAGACTATGAGCAGAGGTCCTTTTTATGGCCTGTTTTATTGCCACAGTTTTATGGTCTGCTTATTGCCACTTGCGTGTTTTTGTTGGTGATTCTGCTGTTTAAAATGGCCCCCAAGCATGGTGCCGAAGTGCTGTCCAGGGTCCTAAGTGCAAGAAGGCTGTGAGGTGCCTCCTGGAGAAAATACGTGTGCTAGATGAGCTTTGTTCAAGCATGAGTTACAGCGCTGTTGGCCATAAGTTCAATGTTAATGAATCAACAGTGTGTATTAAATAAAGTGTATTTAAAGAGAAACACACAAAATACATCGTTATGTATTGATCACTTGATTAAAATGGTGCGATCAGAGACTCGCAGAAACTTCACCCTGTATTTCTGTTGAGACCAGTGATTTGGGATTGATACTCAGCATTTGTGGGGACATCACAGATTAATAAGAATCAACTGTCTATGCTGCCATCTATTCTGCTTCCACCCACAAGGCATGTTCACCCTGGCTTTTCTCTTGCTTCCGTCTGGACCTGGGTGTTGTGCCATGGTCCAATTATGCCTTCAGGAGGTAACATGCTTACCCACCCAGCTCTCTGCTTTTGGGGGAGAGAGACATGCACATCTCCCTGGGGGGGGGGGGACTGGATGCCTAGAGGTAGTGGGCCCCTTGTCAGTTGGAGGCACATGCCTGAAGCCCTCTGTTCACAATCACTTAAAAACAAAACAAACTGGATTCCAGAGTCCAGGGACTTGCACCTGATTACAGCGTCCAGTGCAGTTCTCACTGTCACTGCTGTTGTAATTCTGATAGGCTGGAGGGTGAGCCTTCTCAAGGGGAACACAAATGTAAACTGATTCATACCTATAATACCAGGCCTGCGAGGACCAATAGATAATGAACACGTATATTCCTTCCAATGGCCCTATCCAGCCCTGTCAGGATATGAGTATCCTAGATGAAGGACACCCAAAGGACCCTTTGACAACCAACATTATTGATTCTCAACTTTTAAGTGGAAGCTTCATGGAGTGTCATCTTCCCTACCTTCATGAGCAGCAAGCTCCAAGCACACTTTAACCTTTTCTTGGTGCTGAGGGACGTAATTTGAATGTGAGTTACTCTTAACTGACAGCTGTAGGTTTCATGCCCCAGTCCCAGAATGGTCCACACCTGCAGTGCTGCTGAGTGGGGGCTGCTCTCTCTGAGGGACTGTTAAGACCTGCTGGTTGCCCAACCCATGCTGAACAGCCCTGCCTGGCTGTAGCCTATGGTGCTGGTTCTACACCTTCCTCCTGGGACTCTGCTCCCACTGGCTGCTCCAGGAGCCAGCCATGAACCAGGGCTGCTGTCTGCTGTCTCGTCCTTCCTCACTGGGAAGTTCCACTCTTCATCTCCCCCCTTTTTACTATAACTTCAGGACATAGGATTAACTGGCCACATTGGTTGGGGGACAGTATAACATGGAGGTCAGGAATAGAGGTTATGGGTTCACATTGCTTGGATTTAACCTGGATCCTCCCCTTTTCACCTGTCAGAAGTGAGGTAGGAATTCACAGACAGCTCACTTTTCTTCTAAGATGGAGGTGTGAACAGCACTAGCTCAGAGGGTTGTTGGGGGCATTGCATAAGCTAATCCACCTGATGCTGCGGGCACAGAGAATGCTGGCCCTGGGTCAAGCCTCATTGCTTCAATGAGTTTCATGGGCTCTGAGACTTCTCTGAATGCTTCCAGAATGAATATGTGGGAGTTCTGCTGCATTCCTGGAGCTGCCTAATCAAGACACTGATTCAAATTCCAAACTGCCATCACCAGCTAGTCAGGCAGCAGGAGCCTGAGTCCAGATTTTGTCACTTCATGGACTCAGGGTGGCCCATTCAGGTTTGGCTGGCCCTCTTGACAGGTTAGAAAGGGTTCCTTAACCCAGGAAGGGGAGCTGCTCATCCATAGACACTTCTTTGTACCAGCAGAAGGTATGCCCAGGGGCCCAGGAGGCCTTGGGTGATGTTCTATCAGACATTGCTGAGCTCTGAGCAGCAGGCACTGTTCGGGGAAGGTCAGGGAGCAGGTGCGGGGAAGGCCTCCAGGACACCACTGCAGACCAAGGAATCAAGGTGCCGAGGTCTGAAGGCCTGGTGCTTCTGTTCAGAGTCCACACATACTCTGAGTGCTACTATTTGCCAGGCTTTGGGCTGGTGTTTTTACACACCCTCTCACTGGGGCTGAGCCAGGCCAGGTCTCCAACAGCTTTTCTCTCAGGTCAGCAACTGCTGACAGCTGACATCTCAGCTCTGATACCACAAGGAAGATGAGTTGATGAGTTTTCTTGTGGGGCAAGGACTATGGGCAGGTTCCCTGCTTGAGGAGGGGTTAGGTGAACCTAGTTCCAGGGGTGAGGGGGAGGTATTTCCCTTAAATTTGTTTCTAATCTCTGGGGGAAGAAAATGGAATTATTAGACATTTTTCTAGAGGTTTAGAGCTCTGGCTTGTATTTCAGTTTTAGGTAATTCATTGTGGGCCCAATGGGCAATGATGGGAAGACGGAGTCTTGTTCTGCTATTTACCAGTCACTTAACACCTCTGCACTCACTTTCCTCATCTTTAAAACCTAACTTTTGATAATTCTATTCACTTAATTCCAGTTATGACAGGCACCAAGTACGCAATAACCACTGTAATGATAGCATTATCACTGAGCATTTACTGTATGCTAAGTATTGCACATAAATGATCTTATTTTATCATCCCAACAACCTATTGTTATCTTGATGTTTTCTGTTGGGGAACTAAAGCTTAAAGAGGTGACATTGCTCAACATTATGTCACATTATGTCACACATTCTAGAAAGTGCAGAGCTAGGATATCTAAATTTCTGTCTTCAGTGGGGGATGAGGCTGATTTCAATGCTTTCCTTACTGATTTACATAGAAACCCAGGGACATTTTCTCATGTTGGAACACAAATACATAAGTCTTTCCACCTTCCAGGCAGCTGTCCTAATCACTCTTACCCTGAGGGAATACCCTCGTTTCCTGTGTGGTCTTACCTTGGCAGAGGCATGACATCATCAAAGTCTCTAATAAGCCACCTACCAGGGGAAAGGGTGAGGGTGGAAGCAGAGTCCTCCCTTCACCCAGTTCTTAAGACTAAACCTGATGCTCCTGCACTGCATTAGGCTGTGGCAGGAGGTAGGAGTAGCCATTCCTGGTTTATTTCTGAGTAAAAATGAAGATCAATCTTTCTCCCTATGCCCGACTTTCCCCCAGAATTAATGTCCCTAGAGATCTAGGATAGGCTGTTCAAAGCAGCCGGCCTGCCTGGAGCAGAGCAGAAATAGACTGCACTCCTCCCTCCTAACCAGGACAGCAGAGCGTGACACCCAGGAGCAGGCTACCAGGAGCATTTAGGTGTTAGGCCGTGGCATGGCTGGCGTGGGCTTATGAAGAAAGTGGGCTGAGGAAATCCAGTGAGTCCCATGGCAAAGGCGGCCAGCCCCAGGGCTCCTCCATGCCCCGTACCTCTGCTGCTTCTATTGCTTTCTAACTTCATCTGAGTAAAAGCCAAAATCAAGCAGACTTTAGACGTGGAGCCAAGTAGATAAACTGAAAGGAAACTACATTGCTTCTCCTCAGTTCTCAAATAATCTAAGGCTCTAAAGAGCTAAGTGCCCTTTTCATTCAGAGATGGATTACTCAGTCTATGAATTAGAATCAAAAGGAATTCCATTTTTAGTCTGCATTTGTTTATTTGTAGTTTAAGTCAAACTCTTATTACCCTGGATCAACAGTGAAACTCTTATTAGCCTGGCTCTCTCGTCTTTACTGTGAGCCGGGCACACACTGGGACTGGCCCGATGGTCAGGCAAGGACGCATCTGCAAGACTGCAGCATATGCTGAAGCACACAGTCTGTGACTATTCCCTCCAATCCAGCTGCCAAGGCCTCCCTGGGCCAGGGTGTCGCCATGCTGCTCCTCGGGTACAAGGAGAAGCACCTGCCTATTGAGCAGCTGCTTGAGAGAGGGAGGGGCTTGGATGAGCTGGCAGGAGACAGGTGGGCCTCGGTATCTCATGGTGGAGCCTGAACCAAATAATTTATCTTTTGTACATTTGACCCTGCCCAGCCAGGCCAAGGACATTCACTTCAAGGCTCCTGAGGTGGCCGCTTATCCCAGGTTCATCAGAGCCAGTAAAAGAATAAAGCCAGGAATAGCAGAAAGAGTAAATAAAATGGAAAAATCAAGACCTTTTTCCTTGGTCCTGCTTACCCGCTAAGGACACCGAGAACCAAGTTAAGTACAAAAAATGACCCTATGATGATTAGTGTAACAAAATAGATCCAGGGCCAGTCCCTTCCTACGGCATCATTGACCTGGAAGAACGGAATGATAGTTAGTGAGGTGCACACAGCAGTCGAGCATGGCCCAGCACCCATCATTGGCTCCAGACACCGACCCATGCAGCGCCAGGACCCCGGTCCTCTAGGTGAAAATCAGAGGCCAAACAGCCTGCCTGCCAATGGGTCAGAATTTGGGGTTTCCCCCTGGTTTTCCTGGGCCTCTTAGGGTCGCATCCCTGAGGATCCTGGCGATGGACAGAGTGGAACCTGGGACCTTGCTCGGCTGCATTGTAAGGAGGACATAGAAACGGTCAGCTTACCCGCTCAACACACCGAGAACCAGATTTAGAACGAAAAAGGATCCAAAGATGACCAGACTGACAAAATACACCCAGGGTAACTCATAGCCCATAGCGTCCTGCATCTGGAAAGATGAAGGAAAGTTAGGAAAGAAGGAAAGCAGAACTGAGTCAAAGCGAGGAGGCAGGCAGAGAGGCAGTGGAGAGAATCTGGAGGAGATGAATGGGGCTGACCTTGGTATCTCCTCTGTCTAGGTGGGTCATAGCCCATTGCTACCCATGCATCACCTATTTTCAGAATACTTATGGCCTTGACCTGAACTGTCAGGGACTTTTGCAGGCTCTACTTTAAGAGAGATATTGTCTGCTTCTCTCTGTTATTTTATTTTCTGGAACAAAAAAAAATTCCCCAATGTTTTCTATCCACTTGTCAAAGAAGGAGGGTTGTCTCAAAAAAAAATAATTTCTTCAACAAGGAATGATTTTAACTCACTTGGGTTTACGTGACAGTAAATCTTCCACTGCATCTGAGGTTGGTGTTGGACGTGCCTCAGCTCTTACTGCTAGAGTCAGAGATCTGGAAACTTCCAGGATGTGGGGGAAGGAAACCTTCCTAATGGGTCCAGCATTTAGAGAATTTAGAGAACAATCTCATGGCTGTTCTGACCGTGTGACTGACCAACCAGCTTGTTCTGTGCTTAACCCTAGGGCAGTGCTTCCCCAAGCAGGGGTAGGGGATCAGGGCTCTGTTCTGAAGAAGTTCCCGTGCTCCTCCTGGATCCCAGACCTCAGCTCCCTCAGGACAGGACCGCTGGGAGCAGGCAGTTCCAGGAAGCAATGGCATGCTCACCAGTTCACCCTTATAGAGCTGCCTCCAGAGCCCGGGAGGAGGGTGAGAGGGAAGCATGGCTGTGTGGCTCCTAGAAATGAAATCTCTCCTGACTCCTTAACTGACAGAAAATAACCTTACAGGCCCCACAGCTCTGATGAGTCAACACACCCAGGAGCCTTGGAAATGTCCTTGGGCTCCTGTTTTTAGTTTGGATGTCTTGTTCTCTGTGCCATACACAAGGTAAGTGACTTTCAAAATAATTAATAACCTCAAGTGAATGGAGCTACAGACTACATCATCCACAGGAATCGCACAGCTGGCCTCAAGACCCATAGATTACCCACGCTCAGGGTCACATCTGGAGACTCCGGGTCTCAACCTTTCCCCGTTGCCTTCTGTTTCTGCTTTGGCTTCTTCTTAGGCTGTGGGGAGTTCTTTCAGAGGTTCAGCTGGGATAGTAGGTGAGGGGCAGGAGGACAAATGAGAGATTTGCAAGCTTCCAAGGTGGTTTTAGGAGCCCAGCACCCCCTTAGTGGGCAATGCTCAAAAGCCACAAGAGCGGTTCTCTGGCCGCCTGGCTCTAGCCAGAGAGAAGAGAGCTCCTTTGTTTCCCCTTACTTTCTCTTCTGTATTCTAGGCCACCTACTTTTGGGGCAGCCTGGGTAGAGCACTGACAATGCTGGGTGGCTCTGAAGTAGGGCAATGCTTGGAGATGAGATCGAAGTCTTAAATCGGCTCTAATGGAGATATTTAGAAGAGAGAATAAATACAGTCACATTTTCAAAAAATGACCCAGATGGCTGACACCTGATTTAAAGGTGAAAAAGGAGAAGTCCTTTCTAACCATGAAAGCTAGCTGTTTCCTAGGTTGCAGCACAGCGGTGTCCTGACTTTCCCAGGACGGAGTGTGGAGAGCTGTGCACCGTCCACAGCATCGCACCTCTGGGGCCTACAGTGACACATGACCCCATCTTTGCTGAAACACACAGCTCGCTAGGCTGAGAATGAAAATACAGAAGACTCTTCTGAAACCACTCAATCTAATTTCTGATGGGAATCCAAACTTAAATCAATGTATATTTTTTATCCCCAAAGAAAAACCAGCAGAACACCTCTTGGCCCCTACTCCCTCTAGGCCACTCTCGAGGTCAGCTGATTTCTCTGGGTTTTCAGGTGGTGCCTTTCTGCCATAAGGCTTGGCATAGGCACCATGAATCTAAAGAGACCGACTGGTATAGCTAATGCCAAAAGAGGCTGTCACTTGCCAACAAAGGCAGGAGGTGTAAACCCATAAAAGTCACAGCACTTTATACAGTGTCATTAGAGGACAGGGTTTGCTGCTGCCAAAAATGCCTGTGCCCTGAGCAAAGACTCGATAAATCTGTGACTTCTCGTGATCTTTGTCACCTTGCTTGCTGGGACATGGAGTGCCCATCCATAGGTCACTGAGAGAGCAGCAGAGCAGATAACAGGTCTCACCTGACTCCTTTCTGCCCCTACGCCTGCTCATTGTTCTGCACAGAAAACCTCGGAGCATAGTAAAACTCCTGGTTTGCACGTTAAAGACACCAATGGGCTCCTAACACAGAGAAGGCAAACCCACAAAACTAACCCCTCCATCTACAATTTATTTTTAAAAATCCCTTAACTCAGATGGGATTGTGCACTGATTTTCCAGGGGAAGTCAGGTGCCATGGAGAGGGCAGAAGACATGCTTGTCCTGAGCAGCCACCAGGCCTGGGCCAAGTCTGATGCCTGTGACTAGATCCCTAATTGATCCTTTAAACACTTGGTGACAGCACCCTGGGCAGCAGAGCTATTTCTTGGTCTGCTGAGAGAAGCTGAAACCCAGTTTCTCCTCATTCAGCCTCATGCTCCTCATTCAGCCTCAGGGCCAGCAAAATCCCACCTGTTCCTGGTTCCGATCCCCTTGTGATGCTCTTCCTGCTCTCTGCGTTGCCCTGTATTGTTAGGACACATTTCTTTGTGTGGCCCCTGTCTCTTCAATTAGATCCTAGACTCCGTAAGGGCAGGCCTTCTCCCCACCAGCCCCACTCCAGGCCCCGCTCAGGCCTTACACCAGTGAAATGAATAAAATGAAATCCAATAAGTAAATAAATGATAACTTTGAGAGATGCTAATTCTCTTTCTTGATATGCTTATGAACCAACAGTTTACAGTTTAGATAGCAGATTCTCGGATTAAAGCTGGGTAAGTGGGTAACACTCTGACAAAGATTCCAAATTAAAGACCACAGGGCCCTAAGTAGGACCTACCACCTTCTCTACTCTGGTACCCGCTAGAGCCAAGAATGCTGATCATGGATCATTTGAGGATTTTTTTCTCAACTCTTGACTTAGAATGACTACTAGGTCATCAACAGAATTCAGCTCCACCTTTCGGCTTTCTGTCTCCAGAGACTCAGTTTCTATATTTAGTGAAAAGAGGTGGCCTTTTGAAGAAGCCATGGAGGAGGGGAGAAAAACAAAGTAAAACCTGAGTTACAACCTGCCTGAATGCAAAAGGACTTTGTCACAAACAAGGGATGTTTCAGCAGCACTGAGATAAGAGACCAGAGATGTGTGGCTGATGGGCACGTGTGTGTGTGTGTGTGTGTGTGTGAGAGAGAGAGAGAGAGAGAGAGAGAGAGAGAGAGAGAGAGAGAGAGAGAGAGAGAGAGAGAGAGAGAGAGAGAGAGAGAGAGAGAGAGAGAGAGAGAGAGAGAGATAAGTAGGAATATCTTCCTAGTGTGTGCAGACATATACTGAAATGACAAGACAGAGTGCAGTGTCAACAACTGACTTGTGAAAAGTCAAAAGGTGATACTTGTTCCCAAGGTCTCCTGCTGAACCCAAGCTAATCCAGACCCTACAGAAGACACTCTTTGTGATTCTAAAATATTCCCTTAACATGATTTCTCACTAAGTATTCTTTCTAATCTTATTTTAAAGCTCAATTGCTAATATTTTTAAATCTGCACTGATCATAGAGAAACAAGTGGAAAGGCAATGGGTGGTGGGAAGATGGTGACCCCAATGGTGGCATAGTGGGAGGAGCAGGAGTCTGGAAAACATAGACCAGAGTGCTTTCTACTGTGCCACACAGTCTGCCATCCTCTTAGGGGCTCTAGTTCAGAAGGGCTTTGGGGGAGCAGAAGTCAACATTATCCTCTTGATGAAGAATTATTCTGTAATCTTTTCTGGTGCCTGTTTTCACTGCTGCCTCCCTTTTGCACAATTCTCATGTGACCTCTCTGAGGGTTCCAAACTCCAGTTCAGTGCCCATGTTATTCTGTGTGCCATGAGCATAGATGGAGCTATTTCAAGTGCTGGGCACAAAGTCAGCACTGAGCAGATAACTGATTGATATTTATCTATTTAATCGTGACCTCGCTACAATGTGGAAGGGATAATGCTCAGAGTTTCAAACTGACCCTAATAGGAGACCCTTACAGATCATCTTGATCTAGCAGTCTCTTATATCTTCAGGAAGGAACTTGGCTAAACCATATAAGAAAAGTAGTGTTGAATTATATGCAGAAGGCTAGGGACGTTAGGTTAAAAAAAACAAACACACCTGGAAGTAGAATCAGATACAAGTGGTCATCCATACAACCCTAAATTCCTCCCTGCTGCACTTTTTATGTGATTAATGTCCTCTCCCCTGCCCTCAAGTTCATAAGAGGTGTGAACATTCTGGGAGGAAATGGAGAGGCTTTGGCTTAAGAAGCCATTTCCTAAGGAAACCACACCCCGACCTGAGTTCTGTCTTGGTTTCCAAATCCCCAAACCCAGCCATCTACAAACCTCTAGCACGGGGTACTAGGTAGAGGAAATGTTTTAAGTTAATTGTTCAGCTAGTTGGGGCCTTGACCTAGTGTAAGGCCAAAGTTTAATAGCTGAGGAAATATTCAAGTTTGATTTCACTTTGAGTGCACTAACTCTTCAAAATCACAACAACAAGATAAAATAATGAATGTCAGAGAAAAGGAGAAACAGACTCAGGATCTTCCCTAGCAGAAGGCAGGTGCCTACTGTATCGTACTGGTGACCTTCCAACTCCCTCCTATCCAAGGTAGTATCTAGTGACTGAATCAATGGCTTCTTTAGTGCTGTAACGATCCAGTCTCTCCCTGTGAACCTCTAACCAGCTGTTTAGTGTTCAGAAGGAACCCAGCCCTCGGGTCTCCATTCACTACCATACTTGAAAATCTGGGTTGCTCCTTCCCATATCCTCTAGACTTGTCCCTTGGACTTTAAGAGAAATGCATTCTTCTGAGTAGAAGACCCTACTTCCCCAATTAGTATGGAAACTGGCTCCCTAGACTGGTTCAAATCAGGGCACCAAAGCAGCACCATTCCAATTCAATAGTTTAGACTTCTAGGGGATTTCAAACTCCAGCTTGAGCATCAGAATCACACAGGAAGCTTTAAAAATGCATATACTGGGGTCTAACTTGGAGTTTCTAACCTCATGGCTTTAGGGAAGTTTTGGCATCTTTATTTTAGAAAGCTCCATGTTATACTAAATCACATTGAGATTTGAGATGCTGTGGGTTTAGAGATACAGCGTAGAGGCAAGGAGGAGGAATGCTCAAGGGGGAGGAATGCTCAAGGGGGAGAGAGAAAAATAGGAAGAAGGAAGGAAGAAAGAAATGGCCATAGGAAGGTCAAAACAATCAGAGATATTATCTGAAAGCCAGGAGCTTTGGGCTGGGAGATGCCTCCATCATGAATACCCAAGAATGAGGCTCTATTTCAGCTTTAGGTGAGTGTGTTGTGTGTGTGTGTGTGTGTGTGTGTGTGTGTGTGACCCCCACACACAGTCACACACACACACACACACACACACACACACACACACACACATAATGTGGCCATTTCAAAAAGGTGCTGGGAAAATCAGAGAGAGGCATGTCCCATTAGCCTGAGATTGTTTCTTCACCTCTGTCACTTCTTCCATTTCCAGCCTGTGCTCTATCACCCCCCCCCCCCTCAACCCCCACAGAGGAAGAAGCACAACACAGCTGCTGAAAATTGGTAGCTGCATTTGTGTGCTTTTTCTCATTCCCTACTCTGCTGTCATCATGATAGTATCTCTTTGGTTCACATCTGGCTGGTGGGGTATCAATGAGTTGTGGTTGGGGAGAGGGAAGAAGTAATGAAGGAAGATCACAAAAATACATCACGGCCATTAGCAAAGTAAATTATACCTATTCCCCTCAATCCCACACCCACCCACCACTACCCTGCTCTCAATTTGCAGGCATTGAAGGTGTTTTCATAGCAACTTAAGGCATGGGTTTGAAGCTCCACCTGATGAGGCTTTAAAGCACCATTCCATACAACTCTATGTTCGTGGCCCATAGGCAGGAACTGCCCATCTGAAAAAGGCTGCTTCTGTCCTTGGCTGGCCAAGCATCCACCCGAGGCAAAAGGACCAGTTAGGGCCACTTGGGCATTTGATCAGCTTTGCTAAATGAAATAAATTTGCCTAAGTATAATAAGTTCAATTCCCTCTCTATTTGTACAAATCACTTAAAATCAGTTTTTATTCAGTATGGGCCTTAGAAAATATTTTCAAAGTTTTATTTTAGTTTGAGGAAGGGTTGACTTGGCCTTCATCTTCTTTTGAAAGTATGAAAACACAGCGACTTTCCCAGCATGTTCTGGCTGTGTGGCCATCATCCAATTGTCTGAATTCTCAGTCCCTAGGGACACCCCTGGCATGCAAGGAATGCTCAATAAAATGTTTGCTGGGTACAAGGTGCCCAGGCAAGTTTTAAGTAGTCATTTGCAGAGAGGTGCAATTCATAGCAGCATTGGGTTTCATTCAGCATGTCTGCTATAACATAAAAACTGGGGAAATGGGTTTTTTAATCAATAGAACATGATGCTTATAAAAAACATAGAGGATACAATACCCTGTATCACATCTCCATGTTGCTACAAACTTTTCTAATTCAGAAAGAAGTTAGCACCTCTCATGGCATTAGTTCCTGCCTGTCTGGCAGCTCTGCTTGATGGGGAGGCATCACCCCTCTATTTCATGCTTTAGTGTGTGGACACATTCCTTAAGCAGGCTCCCACATGGCTTTCAGGATGGCCAAATTCATGACTATTTGCAAAATGCTAGGTGAGGTGGTATTTTCAAGAATGGCAACAAGCATTTTTCACTCAAATGTTGGAGAACAACACTGGATTCTGGTGAATCATTTCCTGCTAAAATAGTAGATACTCTAAAGAATTATGTTTTCTGGAGTTTTTACAAATAATGAATTTAACTCTGCCAGAATGGAGACAGCTCAAACATGATGTGTGTAGAGGACAGACTGTACAAAAATCCCCTCAGTGGCTCAAAGGTGGCAAAGTAGTGTTGGCTGATGGACAAGGAATGGGGCAAAAGATTTTAAAAGATTTGCTGTCGACTGGCTGACACTTAAGAAGTGTATTTTCTAAATGTGCATCACGTAAGCACCAGAGGGCTTTCTTAACACTAGGAATGCATTCATCTGGACTATTCTCATATGATATGTAAGATTACTCTGAGAATAAGAACATAATAACACTACGCCATTGAATAAAAATGGCTTCTGCCTGGCCAGTATGGCTCAGTGATTGAGTGTTGACCAGATCATGGCTTGATTCCTGGTCAAGGCACATGGAAGGGTTGTGGGCTCCATACCAGTGTGGGGTATGCAGGAGGCCACCAATCAACGATTCTTTCTCATCATAGATGTTTCCATCTCTCTCCTTCTCTTTTCTCTCTAAAATCAATAAAAAATATATACTTTAAAAAATGGCTTCTTTTTAGAAGACCAGGCCTGATGTTTCTCTTTAATTATACACTATCTCTCTAAAAATTACAAATGATCTGTTTTTTGGGGACAGAGGCAAGACAATATGAGAAAAACCCAACAGTAGGAGAGGAGCGAATGGGATCCTATATTACGTCTGCCATGTTTCTTACTAGAAACAGTGTAGCACCCTGAAAGGTGGTATTTCTCTGAGGCTGGTGGCAGAGAGAGACTCATCAGGGCGAGTGTGAGTGTTTGCTTTGTCTCTCAGGAAAGGCCTGAAAAAAATCACAGGCATTCATCAGCCTCTCCATCATAGTCATGGGAGGTAAACAAGGGAAATGTCGAGGGAAGGAAGTCTTGAAGTCCCCTCTCCCACCCCCTCCCCCGGACTCCCTGCCACTGCCCATCACAGGCTACATACCCAGTATAGCACGTCTGTCCAGCCTTCCATGGTGATGCACTGGAACACCGTGAGCATGGCGAAGGCAAAGTTGTCGAAGTTGGTGATGCCATGCCTGGGCCCATCCCACCCAGGCTTGCACACAGTGCCGTTCTGACACTGCCTTCCATGTCCTGTCTCCAGAGCACAAGGGGAGGGATCATCTTCTGCTGGAACATCTCAAATGGCCATGGGAGATGGATGCACGGGGGGCGGGGGCAGGAGGAGGGAAAGGGAGAGACACATAAAGGGCAGAGATGCACAGAGGGGGGAGAAGCACAGAGGGGGAGAAGCACAGAGTATGGAGAAGCACAGAGGGGGGAGAAACACCGAGGAGAGGGAGATGCACAGAGCGGGGAGAAGCACAGAGGGGTGAGAAGCACAGAGGGGGGATGCACAGAGGGGAGAGAAGCACAGAGGGGGGAGAAACACAGAGGGGGAGGTGCACAGAACAGGGAGATGCACAGAGTGAAGGGGAATGCACAGAGGAGAGATGGATGGACAGAGAGGGGAGATGCACAGAGTGATGGGGGTTGCACAGAGGGAGGGCACATGAGAGAGGGATGGACAGAGAGGGGTCGCACAGAGGGGAGGGGATGCACAGAGGGGGACACATAGAGGGAGTGGAGATGGGCAGAGGGAAGGGAGAGATGGGCAGAGAAAAAAAATTGAGAAGTTAGAGAGGAAAGTTACAGGATAAGATTGATGGAATAGGCAAAACAACCACACAATGGTAATGCAAAAAAAGTTTTCATTCATCTCCTATATATGCATTAAACAACATAAAGGCTGTTGGTTTAGAATGTTAGTACTTTCAACCAATTGTTGTAAAATGGCATTTTAGCCCAGTAATTGATTGTAAAGAGAGTAGGGATATTGCACGTTCTGTTGTAGCACATCAGCATCATAGTCAAGTGGTTAATCAAAAAATAATGGTGATGGAACTACTTTGAGTGGAAGATATCCTGGAAAATGAAGGAAGTCCATGTTTTCTTATTTTGGGGGCATTTCCATAGGAATAACAGAGTTTCAAGTGACAGCATGTTGACTGGAAGACTACTCCACATCATTAGCCAACAGATCTCATTCGGTCACACTTTGAGAACATGGGAGAGTCCATAGGTGTTACATGATGCATCAGCAGGGATGCCAGTCACTTTATGGTGCAACCTAATCTAGTGAAGGATAAAGTAAATCCCGACTGCAGGGAGAGGACAGCCTGCAGCCATCTTTGTTATGACCTGAGCGCACGCTGTGGCCTGTGTTTTATGCAGCTCAGGTGGAACCTTGCACCACTGCCCTCGCTCCCCAGCATGCCTTCCTTTCAGAAAAAAGAATCATTTTCTGACCTCTGCTCAAGATAGAGAGGCAGTGGGCGACAGGGAGAATACTCAGTAGGTGTGGACAGGGCTTTTTCAGAAAAAGTTTAACATCTGTGGCTACAGACAGTGCTTGGGCTAATTCCATTTGCTGGGAACAGCTGCTTTAAAAACCCCAGTAAATTAAGGTGATGTTTATATTTTTGGTACAGAGATCATTAGTAAATTAAAGTAAGACTTGATTTATTTAAGAATTTCTACTGTAGTAAAATAGAGAAATGCTGAGAAAGCCTTGGCCCCAGCTGAGGAAGGTAACTGTGTGAACTTAAGGACATTGTCTCATGCTTGTAGAAAGTAACAGCAATAAGCAGGATAGACTTAACAACCAAATGATTGCTTCTGACAATGAGGAAAATATGGTTCCAGAGAGAGAATTTACTTGCAGTTCTTCATTTAGAGATCTCTATATGTATCAAAACAATCATAAGTGTCCAGTACTTCAGTATTGAAGATGGTTGGTTGATTGTTTCGTGGTTGATTGATTAGAAATTTCACTCCCAAGAGGAACACAGGAAGATATTGAGTAATATCAATCCATAACTAAGATAATTCTTAAGAGAATGGAGTTGAGCAGCATGGCTGGAAATATATGCTGGATGTGTCTTCTTGGCTTTTTTTTCTTTTCTCCCTCTCCTTTTAGTTACTTTATGGAAATATAATTGACATTTCTCCCAGTCTATGAATGTAAATGCACAGTTCAATTATTTTTTAGTAAATTTGCATACTAGTAGTTGTGCAGGCATCACCACATCCATTTTTAAACCCTTCCATCCTTCTCCAAAATTCCTGTGTGCCTGTTTGCAGTCAGGCCCGGCTCCTGCCCTACCAACCTGGTGTGCATTCCCTCTCAATAGCTTTGCCTTTCTAGAAATTGCATATATATGTTCATTTCACTGTCTGTCTATCCGCCAGCTGATGGGCAGCAGGATGGTTTCCAGGTTTGGCTATTGTGAAAAGCGCTACTTCTGGCTTATTCTTGGCCTGGTGCTTTAGGCTGCGCGTGGGAGTCTGTGATGTGACCCAGGTGAAGAGGTCTGCATCACCGGTCCCCAAGCTGCCACAGAAAACGAGTGTCCTCATCATTTCCCCTCCAGGCGCTGGCTCCCAGGGGACTCCGCTCATATGCTGAACTCCAGCCAATTCTTTGTGACTTCAAATTTCAAAACCCTTGGAGATTTGAATGTGAGCTTAAACAAGGGGAGGTTGTGAAAGGAGGGGAACGAAAAAGTGAATACCAAACCTAAAGAGTTAAAGAAAAAGTAGATAATAAATATGTAAAAAATTCAGAGCCTAGAGACTGAATAGATCATAAACTCAATTGTGTTCTTGCCCATGCTCGTGATGGCTTCCTAGAAGGACATGCTCAGTCTCTGTTATGAAAGGGCTGGGGTAATATGAGAGATGGGGTGGAAAGAGAAGGGAAAATAGAGGGAAATTTTGCATCTCTGTTTTCCGTTTTGCTTTTTAGTGCAATTAAGATGGCATTAATCTTTGACTGTGGTTGCCAATCTGACAGTTTTTCCTATATTCTCAATCCCTGACATAAACAGAAATAAGGAGAGTGAGTTCTGAGTGTCCTCAAGAAAGGAAAACATAGTTTGGGTTTTACAAATGTATGTTGAAAAGAAATAGCATGAAGGGGAAATGATCTCATTAATAAAAGAGAAAGGGTTGAGATTCAGAAAGATTATCTAAAAGCTCAAGAGCCACTCTGCTATTTTAATTTAAGTTTGTCTTGGACAACAATAAAAAAAAAAGATATGAGAACAATTAAGAAGCAGTGATGATCTGATAAAAATAGATATCTATAAAAAGCAATAAAGGGAACACTTGAAAAATGTGAGCACACAAATCAGCAGATCCTTGTGACATGCTCTGGAGGGTGAGGGGAAATGAGATCTACTGAGAAAATGTGTTGGATTTCTTCTGGGGAGTCATGAAGTCCTGGTGAGGCGGGTGGGCATGAGGGAAGAGGAGAAACAAAGCAATGTGGGTGAAGTGTGGTAAAGTCATTCTGGAAAGTCCAAATTAAGTTCGAAGAAAAATAATGGAGGCCAGATTATGGGAGATTTTTAAAATGCTGTCAATACCAACAGGAGCCTGACATTCTGGGACAGCGCCAGCTAGGGGTTCCAAAGAGAAATACCAGACACAAAACCAATTACTTTTTTAGGCCCCAATTTTAAGAGTGAATAGAATGAAAATGATTTCATTTCTAGTTCTTTGCCAGCCTCTGGGGTAATTATTGTGTTTGGGAGAGCCATTCAGAGTGACCTGGCTCAGAGCACCATCAAACAGATGGGAGCCAGAAACAAAAGGAGCCAGTACATGCTGGTGCACCTGTGGAGGGGCCTGCAGGGCACTTGCCAGGTGCCCCGGGGACTGGAGGGACATTGTCTCTCCTGAGGCCACCTCTCCCAGGAATGGTGAAGTACCCTAGAAGCAGAATAATGGTTCACCTGGCCAGCTTGAGGGCTTCTTTATATATTTTCTAGGAAACAGGGCTCAAAATCTAATGTATTCTAAAATTTACAAGCACATAAAATTCAGTTTGAAAAAGAAATTCAAAATATAAAAAGAATTGGATGTAAATCCCATTAACCATTCTTTTTTTTTTCTTCTTTTTTAAAGATATGTTTTATTGATTTCAGAGAGAAGAAGGTAGAGGGAGAGAGATAAAAACATCAATGATGAGAGAGAATCATTGATTGGCTACCTCCCACAACCTCACCCTTCCACCTGGGATCCAGCCCAATCCAGGCATATGCCCTGACTGGGAATGGAACTGTGACCCGCTGGTTCATGGGTTGATGCTAAACCACTGAGCCACACTTATCAGACCCATTAAATATTCTAACAAGAGCTCACAGACACTTCCAAATAATCTAAATTTGCAGAAAACATGGTAATTCAATCCAAAGACTGAAAATTTAAAAAAATACCCATTCCAAAGGTGGTACAAAACTCTCCAAAACACATGTGATTTGTTTCAAAGATTGCAGGGTTAGTTTTCTACTCTGGCTGCATCAAGTATGCCCCAATTCCTGTACATGTTCCCTCTTTATCAGGGTTCATCACTCTGGGAGGGAGAGGCACTGATGACAGCTGTGTCGTATGCTATTGGGAGAGATGGACGGAGTAGGTCCCAGGGTTGCCATCCGATAGCAGGATCAGAAAGAGGAGGTGTGTGAGCTCTGACTGCAGTACTGGGAGGAAAGGCTCCTGAAGCCACACATCTTCTGTCCTCTTCCCAGCAGGAAGTCTGGCTCCACATGGAGAACAAGGACACCTTCTGGGGGAGCTCACATGGCTCCCCTCTCTTCTTTGGTGTCTGTCCTCTGACAAACTGGCTCCCAGGGCTGATGGTTATTTCCGTGATGGGAGCTAACCTTCTTTTCTGAACTTGGAGGTGAAAGTAAAACCCACCACATAAATAATCTGATGATCTATGGTAGGAAGTAGGCAATGTCTTGGGTACTTTTCCTGATTACTACTGAGGATGGACAATAATATTGCCCTAAGTTGGCCACTGCAATTGGTGAGGCCAGTTCAGGTTTTGATCCTAAAAGCAAGGAGGCCACTAAAATTTTGAGCAGGCCTGCAGGGCTGTTTCTCCAGACTGTCCAGCTGCATGGGGCAGAGTATCCCATCCTGTTTCTCCCTGGTTTACCACGCCCACCATTTTCTTGCCATTTGAGGCCACTGCAGGCCTCAACAAAGCCCAGTGAGGAGGCCCAACCAATATTCAGGTTTGCTTATTAGCACAGCCCTTACAGGACCCTGCCACCCGTAGAAAACACACTCCCCCTATGGGAACCATGTGTAGTGCTGGGAACAGTGCCCTGTAGCTCAGCGGTGCACAGGGCAGGACTGCCATCTTTGGCTTTATGGCAAAACTTCACCATTTTACTCTTTCCCATTTGATATGTGGTTGGTGAGAGCCACACCAGCATCAACTGCTGAATTTATGGGGATCTTTGAGATTCAGACTCTCAGCTGTGTCGTATGCTATTGGGAGAGATGGACGGAGTGGGTCCCAGGGTTGCCATCCGATAGCAGGATCAGAAAGAGGAGGTGTGTGAGCTCCTGAGTGACTGCCTGAGAGTCTGGGCCAATCAGGTCATTGATCACTTCAATACTAGTACAAACTTTAGACATATTACAGTAGCTCTTAAGTAGGACTCAGAATGAGCTCTAACAAAGCCACAGAATTAATATAAATTTACTGGCCTGGGGCTAGCTACAGATTAAACTGAACATAAGGAAGGATTTGAATTCAAGGGGAAAATATTAATCATTGCATTATTGGGTATTTCTTTAGGCAAGGCTGAAACCTCAAAATTTTAGCTAAAGGCAAGCCTGTTTATTCTAATACTAAAGAACTTCTGTTTTATTTAACATGACAGTTTATTTTATACAATTATGATCCCAGTAATTTGGAAATTCTCTCAAGAGTGAAAAAATGGCCTCTTATTAAACACTCTCCATCAGAAAAGTAGAAACCTTTGTGTGAATCTTTGCTTATGGGTTTATAGCTTTTTGTTTGTTTAGGGACTGTGGCCATATGGCAGCGACCTTGCAAATACCCAATATAGCCAATCAAATCAGATCATCCAGATTCTGCAACCCATTTTGGTTTCTGAATATGAATAATCCATTTTATTCCCTGTTGTAGGTCAGCTCCCGAAGCAAGAGAGGTCACACGGGATTAATACTGGGCTGACAGAAATGAGGGGCAGTAGATGGAGAGATGTGCACAATCTTTTAATGCTTCAGACATGCTCCCCTTTCCTCACCAAGATGCCAAAAACTAAGACGAATGAGGTTGTTATGAAAAAAATAATAAATCATGGAAGTTTAACACTGCTAACCCCTTGGGATATTTTTCAACAAGTTTTTATGTTGAACTACTTTATATGTCTGTTAAAAAGCCTTGTCAATTTCTGTTTGAATGTTTTTTTTTAATGTCAAGTTGAGATTTTAGTAACTAAAGACAGTAGTTGTAGCATACTCCTTAAGCAGAAACTCTAGACCTACTCAAGGAAGTGTTTAATGAGCCAGCATTGCTTGTTAAATAGATTGATTTATTGAAGGAACACAAAAGCTAAGTTCTCAAAAAAAGAAGGACTGTGAAGTCATGAGGTAGAGAGAAACCTTCTCCTGGAGGAAAAGAGGTTTCACACTGGCTGACCTCTTCTCAGCGTGAGACAAGGCTGGGGTTCTGCCTAGAGTGGAGAAGTAGAGGAGCCAGGATCAGCCCCAACACCCAACCTGCTGGTGACAGGCAACGTCACCTTCCCGAAAGGACTTTCGATGGCCAGCAATACTGAAGAACCATAGAGCACAGATCTATTAATACATCCTTAGGTTCTTTCTGATTATTAAATTAAAATATTCAAGGTTGGCTAAGAGATGTTTCTTGAATTGCACAGCTCACTTAAACAGTGTTTAGTAGTGCTGCACAAAGTTTGCATTTAGCTATTTGTAACTGAGATCTATTTTAGTAAAAACAAAAATTATCAAGAGTAAAAGATGACCAATCTCTCCTTTAACCATGGTTTGGAAATGATTCCTGGAATGGAGGCCTTCCTTGGCACTTATTGGTCAGGTGAAGGCAGTGTATCTGGCTGAATGAAAAGTAGTGACAACACAGTAAAGTTTCTTGACAGCTGGCCAGTCAGCATCTTCCCTTACCTGCTATGCCCTCCTGGTTGTAGCAGGTCTTATGCATCTTCCCCATGAAGAGTTCCAGGCCAATGATAGCATAGATAATGATGACAAACAGCACTAGCAGGGCGATGTGCAGCAGGGGAACCATGGCCTTAATGATGGAATTCAGAACCACCTGGAGACCTACAATGACAAATCATAGACAGTGACAACAGTGAGAACACCAGCTTCCATTTATTGAACCACATGCTCTCTTGGATGCCATACTGACATGATCTTATGCCATCTTCTTAGCATATTCCTTGCACCATGAATCCCCTTTTTTAGGTGAAGAAGCTGAGTGACAGAGCAGTGACACCCGGGCTGGCCTGACTCCAAATCTCTCTGGTGCTATATCCAGATGAAAAGACTGGAAGGGTTATCCTTCCAAGGGAAAGAACATGTTGTTTCACCCAGAATTATGCAGTTTCCTAACACCCTGTGTTAGAGACAACCTACCCTCCTCTTCTCCTGGAACAGCAACTCCCTACAGGGAGGCTCACTTTGACTCGAAGCAGCCATGGAAGGACATGTTGATGCCTCAAGAGACTATGGGTGACCCGTATGCTCTAAAACACGTGGGTCACCATAGTCTGGTAGTAGGGCAACAAGGGGGTGGGACTTCCTTTGCTGAAACTGATTCATACCTTGGGATGCCTCTGGGCGGTTAGACCTCCATGAGAGGGCTGAGGAAGTAGCTTTGAGGGCACCTTCTCTGGATTACATGGGAATCTTCCTACAGATTTCTTACCAGGCCACCTTCCTTCAGGACCCAAGTCTGAAGAACATTATAGCCTTTCATTCAAAAACAGCATTGAAAAAAGTCCGTGTTTAATGGGTACTGGATTTGAGTTTGAGAAAATGAAAAAAAGTTCTAGGGATGGATGATTTTGGTGGTGGCTGCACAATGTAAATGAACTGAACTGTACACTTAAAAATGGTTAAATGGTAAATTTCTCTCTCTCTCTCTCTCTCTCTCTCTCTCTCTCTCTCTCTCTCTCTCTCTCTCTCATCTCCACAATAAAAACAAAACAAAACAAAACAAAAAAACAGGACAACTGAGGTACCTAGATCCCTTTAAGGAAAAAAGAGAAGTAAATGAAAAAAACTATTTAGCACACGGGTCTTGTCAGTGCACCCCAAATGCTATAGGTTTGTACTGTTGACTTATAGGGGGAAGGACCCCCTCACTTATAAGTTCAAGCACAAATAACACACCAAGAATGCTCTTTGTTTAAAGGGGATGTGGCAAGTTTTCATTTGCAAATGCCAAAGAGGTGGTCACCAGCAAGTCACCCCAGATTAGCCCCAGGAAAGCTTCTGCCAACATCAGTGCACCAAGTCTCCACATCTTAGGAGAGATGTGGGGGAAGGGCAGGCTTGCCCGCCTTACATCTAGGCCAGCTGTGCAGAAATCTTCTGTGGGCTGCCTCTCACACAGGTATGATAGGACCCCCACTGCTGAATCACACCAGTGTCGCTGTCTGACTTCCCCACCCACCAGGGACATTGGGCATGACTCTACTTTTCTAAGTATTTGGAACTTTCCTCTGTATTCACCCACCACCTTCCTCCCCGGGTGAACAAAGCTGGACTGCTTTTCCAATATTTCCTCCTACTTAACCCTTTGGCTCTCAGCCCAAGCATCTTTCTTCCTAGGGATCCTTCCCCAATCTCCCAAACCAAAGAAGTTTCCTTTCTTACATGTCTTTTTGGAAGCATTTCCTTCCCTTGGAGCACTAGTCTCAGTTTGGAATCATATGCTCTTTAAATAGTTTTTTTTTTTTTTTAAACATTGTTGTCTATCTCTCACATCGGGCTGAGTTTTTTGAAGACGGCACTGTCCATTCTCTGACCATTTTATGGCTAAGGCCTGGCTTGGTGCTGAGCACACAGTGGCTCAGTAAGTGTCTACAGTCTAAGGAAACACTGCCACTGTGATGGAGCTCTGGTGGGCTTGGCTGCAATGAGTCTTCCAGACAGGAAGGGATATGCATAGCTGAGAGGTTTCAGGTGCCACGGACCCAGGCAGAGACTACTGACTGGGATGCAAAGAGGCCAAAAGAAAGTTATAGCAGCCTGGAGGCTTCCTTTCGGTCACAGAGATACCACAGAATTCCTAAGAGCCCCTTTTTGGGCTTAGTTGGCGGCCACCCTGCCCACCTGAGTATCCAGGTCAGGAGATTGATCCCCCAGACTCCTTCTTCCATCAGTGATCAAGTCCTGCCAGTTTGATTCTGAAGTATTTTAGACCAGTTAAATTTTTTCTACTACATAAATAACCTGTGCTATATAGACAGAACATGGAAAATACTTATGATAGAGGAATTAGAAAACTCAGGGAAACAAAAAAAAGAAAGAAATCACCCATCACTCAGACATAACCTGTTAGCCACTTGGTATAATTTTTGGACATTTTGGCCCATGACTCATTTTCCTCCTCTTCATCCCCTTGGTGTTCATCAGTCAGCTAACAAACTTTCTCCATTCAGTTTTTCCCAATCTTCATGCCATAGTGAGAATGGTTTATGAAAACACAAATTGAAACATGTTCCTCCCTGCTGAAGTCTTCAGGTGACTCCTACCACCTACGGGTGAAATTCACCTGCCTCATGCCAGCTTGACCACATCTGATTCTAGTTTATATGGTAATTCCAGTAATATACCAAACTGTATGAACTCCTGTGGCTTCATGCCTCCCTATTCCAGCATATGCTATTCCCCCTGCCTAGAATGCCATTCCCTGCCTAACTAAGAGCCGCTGGAGCCTGATCTCATCTTTGTATCAGTGCACAGTAGTGATGCAATGCACAAGGAGTAAATCACATTTGTAAGGACAAGCTGCTTTCAGAAGACAGAAATGGCAAAATAATCTGAAACCATGACATTCAAAGGTCAGGAAAAGATAAGACTCATGGAATGGGAAAAAGGATAGGTAGGGAGGGAGATATAAATAATTTTTACATGATTTAAACTGAATTAGATGAATTCTGTATGACCATAGTGATGGAGCTAGGATCAACCAGGAAGGATTCAGAATGGACTTAGATTCAATACAAATATGTCCAAGAAACAGACCTATGTGAAGGTGGTGTGGGATGCTTTAAGAGGTGGTAGGTGCTCCATCCTCAGAGGCATTCAAACCTTGATTAAATAAACTCTTGAAGGAGATGCATTGATAGGAATTCAGCCATTGAGTAAAAGATTTCCCTGGTACACCAAAACCCCCTGTACCCTCACTAACATGTTCTGAATACTTACCATGGGCCACATGCAGTTCTCAACACTCTACCTGAATTATTCCATTTCCTTCTGGCAACAACACTATGAAGTAGGTAATATTATTAACCACACTCTACAGCTGAGAAAAGTGAGTCCTAGAGAGGTACAATGGCCTGTCTACGGTTACATAGCTGGTGACTGGTGGCATGGAGTTTAGTGCCAGGTGGCCTGGCTCTAGAGCCTATGGGCTTCACCACTGCTAAGTGCCTCCTCATGCCCCAAGAGTGTGGTTCTCAGCCTCCATGATCTATGTCTATGGAGCAGTAACACATGCTTACAGCACCTGCCATCAAAGTGTAGGAGCCTAGTCCCTGCTTCCAGGAGAGCTTAGATGTTTCCAAGGTGAGTCCCAGGAAAGACTTCTAGTTTCTGCTGCTTTCTTCACAACCAGCTATAGCCAGGCTGGTGTGTGAAGGCATGGCACCAGGATTCCTTCTCTCCAGTCCATCATGAGAACTTGGCACTCAAGGCCTGGATGCTTAATAGCTTCTTCTTGGAATTGGCTCACCTCTGTCCCACAAACAGCTCCTCTAGTTCAAGTTCACATTTGGAAGACATAGCAACATTTCTCCACCCAAGTGTTCTCCTCAGATAGACCATGCTTATGGCTGATAAACAACTGCTAGGCCCTTCTTTAGAGCTGGCCGATCACACCGGTGGAAGTAAATGAGCCCTAGATAAGCCTGGTAAAGCAGTTATAAAATGCCTTCTGAACACAAGATCATAAGGCCTACATTTATGATGATTTTCTTTTTCACCAGAAATCAGGATATAAGATCCAACAAATAACATGAGTACTTATGGATAGAATATTTGATGTGAAAAGTATTCTGGAAAATTTGGAATACATAGTCCCACAGAGGTTAGCAAATAATCTAGAAACCCAACCTCATGTTAGGTGACCACTTCTGTGGATGAAAAAACTATCTACATGCCTGGCTGCCCAACCTTCAGGGAGAAGGGGCTTGAGGAAGTAGTATCATTAAATGCTGGGATTAGGAAAAGGACAGAGATGGAGTTTAGCTAACACGTGTGACTACTTTTCCCCCACTTAGAGCGCTGTAATGTATTCCTTCTGGTCAAATATATTCCAACTTGAAAATTCCAAGTTAGGAAAGACTTCAAGGATCTGCATATACTAGGTGTACTGGTTAATACTGGTGGATTTTGTACATGATAATTTTAAGAGAAACATCAAAAGTGCTTTATTCAAAGTAATGTCCATCGCTAGTTACACATTTTTCCCATCTTTCAGGTAATTTGTGAATACTGTCCCAATAGGATTTTTTCTTGTTTTGAGGCAAACCATTCAGAGACCCAATTTTCCATTTCTTCGTTATGTTTTGAAGTGCTACTCAGAAAGTGCGTGTGCCATCAATTGAAACAAATGATAATCTGAAGGAGCACGGTCTGGTGAATAGAGCGGTGGGTTAATACTTCCCAGCCAATATCTTTTAATGCGTCTTTAACTGGTTTTGAAGTGTGTGATGGTGCGTCAACATGAAGCAAAATTACTTTGCTGGGTTTTCTGGCACATTCTGGTTATTTCACCATCAACGCATGGTTCATATTATTTGTTGTCGGTAGTGATCAGTATCAATGTCTTCACCTGGTTTTAGAAGCTCATAATACACCACACCTTCCTGATCCCACCAAACACAGAGCATTATCTTCTTTCTGAAGCCCTGCAGTAGATGTTGATGGTTGACCTAGATCAACCTATGATTTTGTGCATTTGGGATTCTCAAAATAAATCCACTTTTCATCGACAGTCACAATTCAATGCAAAAAAGACTTTCTTTCTTGCTATTGAAGCAACATTTTACTGATGACTTTTCCTTTTTCCATTTGTTTTCATTCAG